GTGTGTGGCCAGCTCAGCCCACCAGGGGGCGGGGCTGGCTGGCATGTGGTGCTGGGGGATCGAACCGCGGTCCCTGTGCTTTGCTAAGCTTGTTCTAAGTAGGTGCTTTAGACCACTGAGCCATCTCACCAGCCCCAACATAGTTATTTTCTTTCAATCTGCAATTGTAATTTTGTTTGTCCTTCTGCACTAGAGTTCTCTTTTGGCTCTGTTCTTCCTTTTCTTTAGGGCTATCAATCCTTACACTGGATCGTCTTTGCTGTCTTGCATGTCTATTAATTTTAATTGCTTTAATCATTTTGCCTGCTTTAGCTGCCCCGACTCAGTAATTTGAGCTTCAGTGGATCCATTCTCTTTCTTGTTAATTCTAATTTATTTCTTTGGTCTGCAATGATGTTTCCTTAGTATCTCATTCTGATTTTGTCATCATACCTTTGTGTCCCCAATTTATTAAATTCATGCTCTTACATGGTTTTATAATGCAGAGCAGATGTGAGACTCCTAAGGCTTAGGTGGGAGGAGCAGGTTGAGGAAGGCTTGTTTTCTTTTGCCCCCTGTTCTCCCCTTATTTATCATTAATATTTTGCTGCCCTGTGTTTGCATTCCTTTCATCTTATTCTGGTTAGATGGCCCTGTCCAGACCTTCATGCTGCTGAACTGTGACAGCGAGAGAGAGGCGCTCCCTGACCATTGCCCTGTTGCCTAAGAACTTGTCTGGTTCTCGCTCTGCTCTGTGCCGAGGGCATATCTGGGTCTCTGGGCTCCCCGCACTGCAGTAGCCTGAAAGGAAGGAGGACACTGTTAGAATACCTGGCCGTGCTCCTGCCCTGGACTTCTGCTTAAAGTCATGTGCAAGGTTTGTGCCACCTAATTGGGGCTGGACTGGAGGATGTTATCAATATCTCCCAAGAAGGAGAGGTGACCCTGGGCTTGGATTGGTGTCCCCATCTTCGGTGCTGCTCTGGACTCTGTATTCCCATCAGCCGAGACGGCTAGGTGGACAGGCTCCTGCTCACCCGCCTCTCCACAGCACACCTCATAAGAGGAGCCCTCTCAGAAGAGGACAAAGGTAAGCACACAACTCACAGCTGAACCCTAGATGCAGGAGCAGTAGGGAGGACGCTCTGGAGTTTGACAGTTTCTGGGCACGGAGGGCAGAGTAGAGGTGGGCTGGACCTCCCCTGCCACTCCAAGGTTTTCTGTATCAGTGGTGGCTGACCTGTGCAGCAGGCTGTTTGTATCACTCAAAGCTCTAAAAGGTTCTCCACCACCACTCTGTACCCTTGTTTGGATGCCACGTTTGAGGTTTATTGTACTGGTTGCTAGTAGCAACAACTCCCCCCCCCCCCCGCCCCCCAGTTATATTTGCTTTCTTTTATTTTGCTGGGAATTTAAAAAGAGAACTCCTCTAGGGAAGCTGCAGCTCACTGCCTAGATCTAGAACTGTCCCCACACAGTCATGAAGCTGTGTTTGATTTCTCATTTAGATCTGACTTGTATCAACAGCTGCTAATGCAACGCAAAGCAAGGGCAGACATGAGGAGCCTACTGGGTCCTGGGTCTGAGATCACAAGCCCGGAAGTGTTCCAATGAGGCGGGTCAACCTTGTCATTTTGCAAAACATGGCTCTCAGAAGCCAGAGTTAGGAAGGGCGGCCGGCAGCAGAGTGGCCAGCAGCAGCACTGTCAGGTTGAGGCCTGGACCTGGAGCCCTAGCCTGATAGAAAAGCTGGCCACAGGCAAGAAACCTGCCAGGAAGACTAGCCAGAGTCTGCACTGACACTGGGTGTGGCAGCCCTGTGGCCCTTGCTCCCCAGGGGAGCAGCCAGCAGGAATCAGCCCTGCTCAGCTCACAGCTTTCTGGCTGTCCTCTGTTTCAGAGTTCCACAGTGGACTTAGTGCTGCTGACGGGGACAGCTGGCTCCCTTAACACCAGAGACAGAGCACCAGAGACCCCTTTGCACAGCCCTAGAGACAAGGATCTCTGCCTCTCCTCAGAGAAGCAGTCCTCCAGCACCTGGGTCGCTTAAGCCAGTCTTGAATCCACAGTTTCAGGGATGTCCCCAGGGTCTGAAGTTCATGCAACCCAGTTTCGGCGGTCAGCTTAGCGGACCTGAGGTGGGACCAACACAGCATGCAGTACTTGGGATAGAACCCAAGTCGTTGCATTTGCCAGGCAGGCGCTTAGACCCCCGAGCAATCTCCCCGGCCCATTAGTTCTTTATTTAGAGGAAGAAAAGACCAGGACTTGGAAGGGACTCCTGTGATCAGGAGGCCTAGAGGTTCCTGAGGTCCTGAGGTTCAGGGTCCCCTGAACCAACAAGCTACCAAGACATGCAGCTCCCTGGTCCCTGAGTCTGTAGGAATCCCAGACACAACTCCAAGGCCCAGGGCTGCCCACTGGGGTGGAGAAACTCTGTCTCAGCCTGGCTTGGAAAGATGGGCACCAGACTGACATCAGCTTCATAAGGAGCTTCGTAAGGAGCTCCTGCCACTGGCCTAAGGATTCTGCCCTGGGCCTGCCTGCCCTCACCCCGGTCACTGGAGCCCTGGGCCTCCCCATGGTGGAAGGCTTCTGTTCTTTCATGTTATTTATGGACAAAAAGAACTTTCTGTCAAGTAACCAAAGAGCTCCAATCTACATACACGGAAGACTCTGCGATTCCCACGGGGCAGAGGGTAACGTGCTGCTGGCTGGCCAGAACATTTCAGGGTGGCTCCGTCCCTGCAGCCACAGGCAGATGAGATGTAAGCAGGTGAGAGGGAGCCCTTCGGGTGACACTGAGGCAGAAATGAGCACATTAAATGCTTTGGCATTTCTTGGAAAATGTGACCCGCAATGAGAAAGAGAGCCCCACCGAGAGAACACCTTGTGTTGTACAAGGTACCAAAGGAAGTCACAGGGGAGGAGACACAGCTAAGAGAGTGGAGCAAGACCCAGAGGAGCCCTGCAGCACAGTGATTTTCAACCTGGGGAACAAAGAATAAGAGCTTCCCAAAGAGCTTTCTTCTTTTTCTTTTTAGTACTGGAGATTGAGCCTAGAGCCTTAGCTAGCTAGGCAAACACCTTACCACTGAGCTGCATCCCAGTCATTTTGTTTCATTTTATTATTATTGTTGTTGTTGATATTTTGGGGAAGGGTCTACAGGGTGTTCAGGGTCTCACTACTAGATTGGACTCCTAGTGATCCACCTGTTTACAGCCTGCCAAGGGCTGGGATTACAGGCGTGCACCACCTCGCCCAGTCTCAATTGCGGTCTCAGCATGCCCCATGGGTGAGGCCAGTATGGCAGGCTCGGGAATCAGACCCCTGGCCCCTGTGCCTGCTTTCAGGTGCTTTTTTATTTTATTTTGAGACAGGATTTCACTAAGTGGCTTGGGCTGGCTTTGATCTTGTGCTCTCCCTCCTCAGCACCTTCTATCGGGAGCAGGGATTACAGGTGTGAGTACAATCCTTCTGCTTTTCTATCTTGGGCTCTCATTCCAACCGAGCTCTTCAACAGCTAAAAATAAGTCTGAAAGCCACAGCTCTGGAGAGAATTTATTCAGACAGACAAAACAGGCTCAGAAAGACTGCTTCTGGGAGGAACTGGAACCCCTGAGATGGAGCTAGGAAGGCCGAGAGGGAGGGCCTTACCTGGCACCAGGCCGCCGGCCAGGGAAGAAAGAATTCAAGGGACTGACGGAAATCACTCTAGCTTGAAGTAGGCGTAGAAAAAGCCAGTGAAGAAGCTTTAAAGGGAGCACAACCAAAACACATACAGGGTAGGGCCAGCCAAGAGGAAGCTCAACTAGGGAAAGCTGAGCCCCAGCCTCACCTCTGTGGTCCGTCCTGCTGGTCTGCAGGAGTGGTCCTTCCTGCGGGGTGGGGGATTGAGAGGGAGCAGTGACAAGACAGAAACCCTTGGGATGTGGACGGGGTTGAGGGAAGCCTCCCTGGTCTCGGGCTGTGGCAGAACTGCCCTTGCACATGCACTGTAGGCCCCCCACGCACATGGTGGGCAGTGGCACGAACAGCAGCGCCCAAAGGCCATGGGTGGAACAGCCCTCATTCCCAGAGCCTCCATCATGTTGCCGTGTGTGGCGAAAGGGATCGTGCAAGTGTGCTTCAGGAGCTTGAGCTGGGGACAGTGTCCTGAGTGTCCCTTGCCAGAGGAGAGGAGGGGCGTCAGAAGAGCTGTGAGGACTGTAACAGAGGCCAGGGCGGGGCGGCTACCAGTTGAGACATTTGTGCAGCTTCTAGCACGGGCAAGGGCAAGGATACAGATTCAGCCCTGGCCATCGCAGGAGCAGAGCCTGGCCGATACCTCGGATTTGGTCCCAAGCAAATCCTCGGATTTGCTGGACTGCTGGCCTCCAGAACCGTGTGATAACAAGCTTGTGCTCGTTAGAGCCAAGCATTTGCGATGACTTTTTACAGCAGCAATAGGAAACTAATGTGACAGCCCGAGTCCAGGTGTGTGTTCTCTGAACTCAGTGCGCCAGGATTCTAGCTTCAGGGCCTCCACTTGCCGAGTGACCGCGAGGAAGTCGCCTTATGTTCTGCATCATCGCCTCCTCGTGCGCAAGGTGAGGGAGGATGGTAACACCTGCCACCTTCTGTGGTTGTTGTGAAGGTTAAAACAGAAATTCTTTGCCAAGGATGGTGGTGCATTCCTATAATCCCAGCTCTCAGGAAACAGAGTCAGGAGGACTGCTGTGAGTTCAAGGCCAGCCTGAACTACAGAGTGAGACCCTGTCTCGAAAAACCAAAAACAAACAAAAAAGAAAAAAGAAAAGAAAAAAAAAAAAGGAAAGGAAAGGAAATGCTTAGAACCATGTCAGACACAGAGTAAAGGTTTCAAGGCAAAGGGCCGGGGATATAGCTCAGTGGTACTGCACTTGCCTAGCATGTGAGAGGCCCTGGGTTCAACCCTAGCCCCTAGGTGAGGTGCCTCAGCTCAAGCATTGCAAAAACAAACAATCCAACAAACAAGGCTAGAGATGTACCTCAGACTCATGAGAAGACCTTGGGTTCAATCCCTGCTATCACCATGTAACAAAACAAAAACTCTTCCTGGGGTCTCCTTGACCAGAACAAAGTCATGTGACTGCACAGGTACTTCAGGATTGCCAGAAGGAGGTAGGCCCATGCTAACACAGTATGTGCTGGCCAGGTGGGCTGAAGATAGCTTGGCAGTCTAAGTGCCTGCCTGGCAAGCACAAGGACCCAGATTCAATCCCTGGTACTGCATGTACCAGGGTGTGCCATTCCGGCCACTAAAACCAGGTGGTGGAACATGCCTGTAATCCCAGCTCTGGGGAGCCTGAGACAGGAAGATCACTACAAGTCTGAACTGCGTAGCGAGACCCTGTATCAAATGAATAAAAGACTAAAAAAATACACATGTGCTGGCCAGGTTAGTGAGAATATTTAAATCTGCTAGAGAAGACAAGGAAAAGGAAAGGCAGGCAAAATTCCTAAGATGTGTCAAGTATAGACAGTAAATCGACACCTCGTGAGACAGGCTAGACACTGAGTAGATGGAACGTGGGTGTTAAGCTTTGGTTAAAAGGGCAGAGCACGCTGTTCCCTATTGCTACAAAAGGATCGAAACCCCAAGTTACAAGGCAAAGATCATGCAATTCCAGACTAATGGCTGGCACCCGCAAACCAGGGCCCCCAGAGCCTCATTCTGACGCCATTTGAGTCCTCGTGTGCTCCTCCCTAGCTGCCCAAGGGTCACTGCCAGCCATGGCTTTCACTGGGTGCACCTGTTCTCTGTGCCGCCAACAGAGCGTGCATTACCTGCAGGTGCCTTCTGGACCCGGACTGCCTTCACTCAGCCTCAACTATTGTGTGTACAACCCCGCTGTCAGTGGAGATAGAGGCAGGGGAGAGATGGTGGAGGGAGCAGGTCGCAGGAACACAAGATCCAGGCCGTACGCCCCTCTGCCCCGCTCACACTTTATCCTACTCAGTTAACCTGCCCGGTCTGTTTCCTTTTGTTCTTCCCTGCAGGCTTCACACAGAACCAAGAAAGTGGGTGATTGGAGCGTCTTAAGTGGGCCCGCGGGTCTCTGCGTGTCTACAGACAGCTGGCCTGATGTAGCACACAGAGGTTCCCTGTGTCAAGACAATTACACGCATGACAGACGTTAATGATTTGTCCCCAAGGGCTGGGCACATGGCTATCTGAACACACAGATGGGAAAAAAGAGACTGGCGTTGGGTGGGAGCCTGCAGGCATGAGAGCTCACTCGGTCTGGTCTTCTGACTCCAAGTACACTGAGGTCCTTTTAGCTAAAGGGAAGAGGTCCTGATAAAGTAGGGCCTTCAGGAATTGTTCTCACCTGTAGTCTCTCTTGGAGGAGAGCGGGAGGGCTGGCTCGCTCATCAGGTCCTGCTGGCTCAAGCGAGGGCACTGGTGAAGCCCCTGGACGGTTCGTCAGCTGCCCATTACTGCGAACCAACACTGGAGATAATCGGCTTATCAGGAGATAAGCGTTGTTCTGGCTCGTGGGCTCAGAGGCTTCACCCACGGGCACTTGGACCTGTGGCAGCACAGCACAGCATAGCAGGAGTAGGAGCGTGCAGCTGAGACCACCCAGAAAACAGGAAGAGAGACAAGAAGCAGGTGGGGGACCCAAAGTCCTCCTCGGGATTCACCCCAGTGACCTAACTGGCTTCCACTAGGCCCTACCTTCTAAGGCTCTAGAACTTTCCTGCAGCATCAGGGCTGGAAATGCAGGCATTTACACATGGATCTTTGCATGATATTCCAGATCGAGACTACGGTGTGAGCTGACTGAGCCCTGGGTCATTTATCATTCGTGCAACAGGATACTGAGCACTTAGCACGTGCTGTGGACACGAACACAGATAAAGCCGGGCTACTTCCTCCCTGGGGTCAGAATTCACCATTACGGACAAACAGAAACCTACTCTGGTAATATAGACCCCCAGTCTGCTTCAGCAAAGCAAAACGTGTTGGCAGTCAGAGAACAGGGCACGGAATCCGCCTCAGGAAGCCCAAATCCTGAGCCACCTGTGCCAGCAACCTGTTCACTCCTCTCGCACCAGCCTTCACCTGTTCTCGCTCATCTCTGGCGCACTCTCCCAGCTGGCCCCCAGGGAAGCTGCTGCAGTTCCTGGCCTGTCCCCAGAATGCCAGGACTCCACCATCCCCGCCTGGGGGGGGGGTCCCTGATGCCTCTGCCTGGTGCTCTCTCCTGGCAAGGATGGCATCCCCTGCCTGGCATGCCAGCCAACGTCAACAGGAGGTGCCAGGTACCCGGAGGAGGTGGAGAGGACAAGGCTCGTGGGGAGCTGAGCGGCGTTTGGGCTGAGTGCTGCAGGCTAACTTGCTCTGGGCAGTAGCAGCTTCAGACACAAAACAAGCCCACCCAAGGCGAACCGCTCCAGGAACAGAGCCAGGGCCTTGGGGAGCTACACGAACTGGCAGGCCCCCATTGAGCCCCTGACAGCAGGTCAACTCGCATTACAAACAGCCCATCTGTTTTCTCGGCATGCTCCTGAGCTGCCAGCCTGCTGCTGCCTGAGGAAAGAAAAAAGAGTCCCATCCCTGCTGCCTGACAGCTCCGCATCCTGACAGCCCCGAGTTCAGCAGGCTCCCCAGAGCAGTGTGGCCACGGCCAGGTACACTCCCAGTCCCCACCCCGCAGCCTCTGCCCCCTCTCGCCCCCTCCCCATGCAGTTAATGCCTTGACCTCTTTTTGGCAGGGAAAATCCATTTGGTCTGGAGGCCTATGTGTGCCAGAGCCACCGTCGGGTGAGCCTTGGATCACACCTGGCAGCACGGCCCTGCGGGGTCAGGTGGAGGCCGTGGCCACAGCTCAGCAGCCAAGTGCTCACCTAGCACCACAGGGTTATTTTTTTTTTAAATGTCATGTCCAGGCCAGCAGGCTGGACTCTAACTGAAGTGGCCAGGCATAGGCCCACTTCAAGGCCCTTCCTCGAGTGTCCCCTGACACTCTGCCAGCCTAGTCCCAGGTGCAACTGGCTGCCTGGACTCCAAGGGAGAAGTGGCCCCGCTCCTTCCTGGGGACTTGGTGTCCCCTTTCTGCTGTTCCTTCATTTTTCCACATCCAAAAGCTTTCCCAGCCAGGTGTGGTGGTGAACACCTGTAATCACACCACTTGGGAGGCTGAGCTACCAGCCTGGGCTACAAAGTGAGCTCAAGGCCAGCCTGAGCTGCATAGCGAAACCCTGTCTCAAAAAGGCAAAAAAAATAGTTTTCCCATCCTACCCCTATCAGGCTGACTTCCACTCGAGCATCCTCATATCCGACCCCATCCCCTCAGGCCCTCCTTTCCTTTTCTGTCCAGCCTCTTGAAAAAGCAGTCTACCGTTCAACACACTCATGTCTTTTGTCAGTGTGTGTGTGTGTGTGTGTGTGTGTGTGTGTGCATTTGGAGGCTGGATCTACCGCCTAGGCAAGCGTCCCACCCTGTGTTACATCCCCAGATCACTGAATATGACATTCTGAGACAGGGCCTTACTAAACTGCTAAATTTCCCAGACTGGGATCAAAATTGCAACCTTCCTGCCTCGGCCTCCCAGACTGCTGGGGTCACAGGTGTGTGACACCACACCCAGCTTTGATTTTTTTTTTAACATGCAAACTTATACTTCTAGAAGCTCTGGCCCAGCACCTATCGCCACCGTGGGGCTAGCTCCAGTCCCCCACTGGTAAGGAGCACTTTTAACTCCTGGCTCCTCATGTGAGTGAGTCCTCCTGGGTGGGGCTGGGCTGTGGCCTGGCTTTCTATTCTGTTTTCTGCCCCAGGATTTTTTTTAACCTAACTTCGAATGCATCACCAACATCTGTGTCCTCCCCTTTATTGATCGTCACCTTGAGGCAGGAAGTGTGGACCTTCAACTGGCCTGTCAGTAAAAGCTTCTGAGTTCAGCCTGGTCCCTACTGTGCTCATAAGCCTGCCATGGCCCCCATGTTCTCAGAAGGGGGGGCGTTCTTACATGCAAAAGTGCCCACGATCTGAGCCCCATTGCTTCTGACAACCTGCACCTCTGTCTGCCTGTTCCCCTCCCCTAACCAGAGGAGCACGCAGCTCTCCTCATTCTGCTCCTCCTCCTCCTCCTCCTCCTCTTCCTCCTCCTGCCCCTCCTCTTGCTCCTCCTTCTCCTCCTTCTTCTCCTTCTCCTCCTCCTCCTGCTCCCCTTGCTCCTGCTCCTCCTGCTCTTGCCCCTCCTCCTGCTGCTCCTCCTCCTCCTCTTCCTCCTCCTGCCCCTCCTCTTGCTCCTCCTTCTTCTCCTCCTCCTCCTCCTCTTCCTCCTCCTGCCCCTCCTCTTGCTCCTCCTTCTTCTCCTTCTCCTCCTCCTCCT